AGGCCTCCCAAAGTGCTGGGATTACAGGTGTGAGCCACCACACCTGACAAAGCACTGCTTTTTTTTTTTTTTTTTTTTTTTTAACTCAAATTAAAAAGAAATAAAGGCAAGGCTAAAACCTTCAGTCCAAAGCAAGATGCTTTTTTGTTTCTTTCCTTCTATATTTGAAGTAGAAAAATAAGTTGACTCTCTATTTAGATCAATTCATTATAGTGAGCTCAGTGCTTCAAAAAACGCAGTGACTTGACAATTCGTTGCCCAGGAGCCTAGGAAGAGAACTCACTAAATCAGCCAGCCAAGGGGCCCTGCCACTGCAGTTATGTAGCCTGTGAGGAGAGAACAGAGCTCTTTGAGTTTCTAATTAATTTCTGGAGGGAGAAAGAGTAGAACAAAGTATTCCCTTGACTTCCCCTAGAAACAAGCAAGAGGACAAACCCAAGATGAAGGGGTCACCTCCTAACACTTTTTCCGGTTCATATCCATCTGGATTTTTCTTCCCACACCCCTAGATATCCCCCCTCACCGCCACCCCACCCACATTCTTTGATCCCCTCTGCTCCTGTGCAGGCAGTGGGAGGACCCAGGGCAGCTCTGATTTCACCAACTGCGTCTCCAGCATCCTAATAGCTTCCTGACCCATCTGTTAATTAGCCATTAAAAAAAGCCACACAGTTCCTCCCTCAGAATGATTCTCATCTCCAAGACACTAATGAATCAACTCAGGGCGAGGAGGAAGGAACAGGTTTGGATGTGAGACAGCTAGCACGAAAAGGAATGTCAAAAAGGACCAGGCTCCCAGACTATTTCCTGGGCTCAGCCCGTGCCCTTGGCGGCCCTCCCAGAACAAAGGGCCCCTCGGGGGAGCTGTGCGGAAATCACTCAGGAAATAGGAAAATCTGGGGATGGCTGCAGCTTGAGCCTGAGCCCAGGCAGTTTGGAAGAAGGGGAAAAGTAAAGTGGGGAGCCTGGTGGGAATTGGGCTTCCAGTTGGCAAAGGTAGGCACGGCTGCCCTGGGGCTCTCTGACCACATCCAGCACCCAGCTCTGCCTTTCAATCCTGTGCTCATCTCTTCCTCCTCCACGGAGTTCAGCTAGCTGAGTCGGACTTGGTACTCATCTGTTAGAATCACTAGGGAGCTGATAGTTTCCCCCACAGACACTCATTTCTCACTCAGAAACACGACAGCAAGGTCTAATCACTTCTGGAAATAATGAAATCTGTTCTTCCCTGAAGGAGTAGAGAGATGAAAGGAAGTCCTACCCTAAGGAATGTGTGTGCATGGGCAGGCGGAGGGCTGTCCAGCCTGGGAGCACCGAGGCAGACGCAGATGGTCCGTCCCTTCCCTTCACCCCTGCTCACACTCCCACAAACGTCCCTCTCCAATGAGGCTGTTCTCACTGAAACTCCCTCAGACTCAGCCCCTGCCTGCCCAGCTATCATCTTTAGGGAGAAGCACACATTGAAACCAGCTTGTCTTTCCTGTTCAGACAGGAAACATCTTTGCCGAACTATTTCAAGGAATATGTAACTGCATGCACCTTCACTTCCTCTCTTGACCTCTCAAGAGTGTACATTCTTTCTCCTCCCCACCTTCCCTAAGGAAAACTCACATGGTGTGACTGTTTCTCTCTTTCTCCATCACTCCCTCCTGTTCCCTACCCCGATTGCCCAACAAGGCAGTCTACACAAAAAATACTCCCCGGAAGGACACACGGCGGCCTCTCAGGTGTGAGCAAAGCGAGAGGAGTGGTGTAGTTGCGTTCACCCCCAGGAGTCTGACAGCAACTTGCACACTCACCCTGACGTGCCCCGGAAGCAAGAGGTTAAGTTGGGACACTGCTGTGCTTGAGTTACCCAGAACTGAAAAATAAGTTTTCCTGACCTGCCCAAGGTCATTCATAGAGTGTCGCAGAGGGATCGCCCGTGCTCTGTCCCCCCTGCCGCCCCACCACACACAGACAGGCATTGTCCCCTACCCAACAGGCGCGGATATGATGGTTTCCAAAGCACTGATCAGGCAAGACTGCAGCTGCTGGAAGAGAGGCTGTGAACTGAATAAAATCAGGAGGTGAACTTGAGGGGGAAACATCCCACATTTGCATAATGTTCTGAGGCCTGAAATTCATCTCCCTTCCCGTGGTTACTCCGCTTCCCCAACCCCAGAGAGAAGTTGCCCCAATGGTGTCATCACCTTCACCCTAGTTTGGCGTAAGGGGCGTCAGGGTGGTGGGGAGGGGAAAAAACACCAAGAGGGAACGTGACCTCTCCAGGGTCATGTGCCAATGCCAGCATCCAAAGATGCCTGCTGTCAGCATTTGAGGACACCGCCCTCCGTATCATCTCAGGCGATGATGAATAAACTCTGTATGAGGCGGAAGTGTCAGGGCAGCAGGCAGTTTTCCCTGAGTACAGGTAACAACGGTTCAGGGAAGAAAGTATCTTAAAGAAAGATGTGTAGGAATCAACCAGCAAGCGGCTGTGGTCAGAGCAGAAGGTTTAATGAGAGGCCAAGGCCACAGGGGAAGGGGAAAAGGAGACAAGCCTCCAAGTCTTGAGGCAGAGGTGTAACGATGATAACGACCAGCATATCTGCTTCAGGACAGCACCTGCCCATAGGCAATTCCTTCTCTTCTTTCTACGCTGAGCCAAGAGAGAAAATTCTTTGCCGACAAGATGCAAAAGACACAGTGTCTTGCCTTTATTTTGCTCACCATCCCACTTGTCTCCTGCATTTGAGAGCCAAGACTGACCACAGGCTGTTTCTCACACAGGAGGATACTTACTGCACTATCTGAGACATGAGCTGCGGGTGGGAGACAGGGTGGAGGTGCCTCAGGATGACCGAGGCCTCCCTTTGGAATCACTCCAATTCCAGCACCCGAGTTTGAGGTACCCACCCTTTGTGGATTTGACTCAATAAAACCTGCCAGGGAGTATCATTTCTCTCAACACCCACAGTATCAAGCAGGAAAAAAAAAAATCAGCTCTTTTAATATGCCTAGAAATTTCTATCTGCCTTTCTCTCTCTTCAGCAAGGCAGGGGTGATTAATGTACACAGGAGCGAGGAAGGAGGTTTTCAGGTGGTAAGGATAACAACCAGGACGCAGAGAAGAGCTCAAGGTGAATGGGTCAGTGTGGGGGCCTGCAGGGCTGACCGACAAACAGTAGTCTGGGGGGTGGTCATGGTGACTAGGGCAGTGCTCACACCATGCACCAGAAATGGAGGCATCTCCTGGGGCAGCGTTTGTTCCCTGAGAGGACTCTCGCACCACGTCCAGACATCCATCAACATGAGGGGACTGGAAGCCAAGCTAACTCTGCATCCCCTGGGTGTGTCATTCCTAGAGTTCTAAGGGGAGGCTGGGTTTCTGTCGTCCCCTTGGCTTTGACCTCCCCAAGGGCTCACTGTGGGGGCAAGATGGTGCCTCGGGGCAGGATTCAGAGTGGAACCAGGGACTGCCATAGTTTGAGCCCTTGGCGTAAGTTTTGGTAGGAGGTAGCCCCCACTCCCTCTCGAATGTAAGCAATGAAAGATGCCCCACCAGATTTAACACAGGCAAGAACTGTTAAGTCAAAGTTCTAACTACAGGGTTTCAAAGAACAAGTCCTCCAGTCTCAGCAGGAAAGATACACATCCCACTTCTCAGGATGCAATGAGGAGACACCATCTGTGCTTGGTCAACATGGAATGGAGAAATCTTTATCTCTACTTCCGGCAGGAGGCATCCTTTCTATAAAACCCCAATTCCTAGTGTACAAGAACGTCTCAGTTGACACTAAGCCACCCGGTACCACTTTCAGTAAGGTTCCAACATTGGTCAGTTTCCTAAATTGAAGATGACACTCCGATTTGACTCAAAAAACTAAATGCCATTAAGAACCTACACCAAAGTGCCCACATGCCAGGAAAGGAAAGCAGAACGCTGGATCCTCATCCAGGATTACAGAATTTGTAACATTCTTACACTTGGAACTGCACGCACTCTACCAATTTCTTACTCTGCCTTGTAAATCCCCCTACCACCAAAGCATGCATTCTCGGTTCTGAAGAAATGGAGGAGGGGGCACAAGAAGACCCTGATTTATTGCATGCAAAAGGAGCGATGGTGGAAATAACTTAAGAGGGCCAGGGGAGGTGTGGCGAGGCCAAGAGTGAAGAGGACAGGGGAAGCAAGTTGAGAGGGTGAGGCCGCGGGGACACCAGGGCGCGCGGCACGCGGCGCTCTCACCTGTGGATGTTCATCTCCCGCGGAGGGCGGTGGGCCTTGTCGTAGGAGACCTTGGCGAAGACGCCGGCCACGATGACGAAGGCGATCACCCCGCAGGTGATGTAGACGGTGAAGTTGGTCTTGTCCTTCTCCGGGTCGTACTTGTTCTCGGGCCCCGGCGACACCACCTTGGTGCTGGGCGTCTGTACCCACACCGGGCTCTGGTAGTTGGTGCACTGGCGCTGGTCCAGCTTCTCGTGGCGCTTCTTGCAGCAGAAGCGGTAGTAGCAGGTGCCGCAGCAGTACAGGTAGCCGCTCTCGCTGTTGTTACACTCGAACTCCTTGTCGTACTGGCCGCTCACGTCGTAGTAGCCCCAGCACGTCTCGTAGGTGACGGTCGCGCTGGCCGCTGCCGCCGCCGCCACAGCCGCCGCGGGTTGCCCCCGCCGGCTTCCCGCCTCCGAGACTCCGGGCGCCCGGGCGGTACCGTTCAGCTCGCGGCCGCCCCGTGCCAGGGCGCCCCCGGCCCTCCGGCCCCCGACGGCAGCGCCGCCTGCGCTCAGGGTCCGGTTGGCGGCGCGGCCGCGGGCTCCGTGGGCGCTGGGCAGCAGGTCCAGGGACTCCAGCGAAAGCAGCAGCAGCAGCAGGAGGCGCCGCAGCGCCATGGTGGGGCCGGGCGGGAGGGCGCGGGGAGGCTTCCGCGGCAGGCCGCTCCCCCGGCGGGCCGGGCTCTGAGGACCCGCCGCGCGGGCCGGGCTGGAGGCGCGGAGCGGTCAGCGGCGCCGGGGCGATGGCGCCATCGAGGCGCGGGCAGCAGTGGCGGCGGCGGCGCGCGGTGCGCACGGACCGGCCCGGCGCGGGCTGCTCGGGCTCTCAGGCTGCGCGCCGGCTCCGCGCTCCCCCTGCGGGCTCGGCGCGCCTCCCGGGTAGCCCCATCCCCCGCCGGCGGTGACGGCGGCCCCAAGCTCGGCTCGACTCAGGCAGGACCCGAAGCGCGGCTCCGGGCGGCGGCGGCGGCGGCGGCGGCGGCGGCGGCGGCGTGGTCCCGTCCGGGCGGGTCCTGCGGGACAAGACGGGGAGCCGGTCACGGGGTGGGGCGACTGGCGCTCCGGGAGCAGGAGGGGAACCGCGGGTAGGCGGGCAGGGAGGGTGCGCGCAGCCCTCGAGGAGAGAGGCTTGGGGCCGAGAGGGGCTTAGAGCCCGCTCCCAAGACGGGGTCCCGCGGCCCTGCGCGCCTGGAACCGAGGGCGCACGGGCCGCCCCTCCAGGCTCAGCTCGGCCGCCCGGGTTCCCCAGCCACCCGGCCCCGCAGCGCGCTCCCGCCGCAGGCTGGCTCCCTGGGACGGAGCCGGCTGAGGTTGGGGTCCGGCGGCGAGCCGGGGGAGCGCGCGGCGGCTGGACCTCACTCACTCACCATGCCCGGCTGCGACTGCAGAGGCGGCGGCGGCGGCGGCGCCGGGGCGAGGCGGGAGCGCAGCGGCCGGAGCGAGCGAGCGAGCGGAAAGCCGCCGGCTCGCCGCCTGCACTAGTGCCGGAACGTGTGCGAGAGGGAGCGAGGGAGACACACGCACTCACACACCCGCACACACGGGAGCGCCGCGAGGGGAGGGGGGAGAGGGGAGGGGAGAGAGGGGAGGGGAGGGCAGCCGCTCTCCGCCGCCCACGTTTGCACGCCTGGGCGCTCAGGGTGCGGGGCAAAGGGACTCCTTTTTGCTTCTCCGCGATCTCAGCAGTTGAAGCTCCGCGTCACGAAAGGTCGGGACAGCAGTTAATGAACACAGCGAACCGGGTGGGCCAAGTGGGGTCGGAGCAGGGCTGAACGTCCGCTCTGCAGCCGGCCCGCGGCAGGGACAGACCTCTCTTGCCATTGCCCCCTCCAGCCCTCGAGACCAGTCCCCACCCTACCGGAGCCTGGGGCAGCGCGCTGCCAGAGCGGGAGTTGGGGTTTCTGCAAGCCTTTGCCTCTCCCTGGTGGTGATACTCGCAGCCAGGAGAAGAGGTCAAACCCATTGCTACAGGTTCCCAAACTGAGTCCATGGGTCAAGTGGCTTGTCTGAGGCTGTTGCTCGACCCGTGAGCTGAGCCTACACTCTCTTCCTGTTGGTCACTCTTTCCCCAACCCCGTCCCCACTGCGCAGAAAGGCGCTGGACAGCCCCAGCACTGGATGGCAACTCTTTGCTAGACTATTTCCCCCCCCACCCCCTGCGGAGCCTGGAGGCCATTAGAAAGCTGTCTGAACCTCTGAGACTCAGCTTTGTAACCCCTGTGTTGAAATCTCTGTGCTGCAGCTACTATGGAAGGTGAGGAGGATGGAGGTGCCAGGCGGGGGTGCTTTCGGGGTAGTTGCGTGTCTGGGTCTGTGGAAAGGAGGCCTGAGTAACTTTCACAGCTATGAGGCCACCCCAAAAGAGAATCATAGTACCATCCGTGGTATGTGTCCTTGGAGGAGGTAGGGGGAACTGGGAACAAAAAGCGATGGCCAAGACCGAGACTCTGCCTGCGTGACCAGCGTGCTTTGGTTGAAGGCAGGGAACTGAAGGCAGGGAACAGGCTGTCAGAGCGAGGGCGGTAGAGAATCTTCTCTGAGACTTTCTGTTCAGTCCCACTCACGTGTGACCCAAACAAGGGATCCCTATGCAGGAACAGAAGAGTTCCTCTTTTGGGAAACGTGGAATGGATATATTGGAGCTGGAACTCAGACTCCAAGACACGAGAGGGAGATCCTGATACTGACTAGGGGCTGGGGAGGGGGGGCGCGCGGTGCACAGACTATCCCCACAGCTCCCCACTCGCTCCTGTCTCCATTCCCTCCCTCTTCCTCTGCACTTCCTCCCGTTCCCTTAACTTCTCAGCTGCTACCTTCTTCTTAAACATTCTGTACAACAAACATTTGTTTAGTGCCTACTCTCTGCCAGCAGAATGAATAAGAGAGTCCCTTTCCTCAAAGAGGGGGACCTTGTAGACCATTAGGGAGACAGATAAACAAATGATTTCCACATGGCAAGGTTATGTCTCATAATAAAGGCGGGCAGAGTGCTCTGAGAACAGAAGACAGGCACCCAGCCTAGCCCTGCAAGGGGACAGATGGGGGTCAAAGGTAGCTTTCACAATGAGGTAGAGCAGAATCTTGAAGAATGGATTATGAGTTCATACAGCAAACAAGAGGGAAAGGAGGCCCCCAGCAGAGGGAACATCCTTAGCAGAACCAGAAAGACAGGAAGTGGTAAGGGTGTGTGAGCAGGGGTGCAAGCAGTTTAGCATGAACCCTGAAGGAGTCTACCAAATAAGGCTAGGAGGAGGGCGTTGAATCCCTCCCTTGCAAAGAACTTGAATTTATTCTACAATTGCTGGGGAATTATTGGTGGGTTTTAATCAGGAGAAGACACTGTCAGTTTTACATGTTTGCTGAATCTCTGAGTCAAATGGAGTAGGGAACACTGGACTGGACGCAGGAAAAGCAATTTGGAAGCTGTCCTGATAATACAGGTAAAAAATGAGGAAGGGATGCAGTAGATTACTGGAAGTTGATGCCCACAGTGGAGATAAGCATGGCTGAAAAAGCAGGTTCAGGATAGAGTTAGCAATATTCCTGTTGTGGTTCCTTTGAGAGATCTAAGTGGAGCTGTCCAGCACAAGAATTGCAAGCTCAGAAGAGAAGACAGGCATATACATTTGGGAATCATAAGAACATATTTGAAGACAACAGGCTTATATATTTACCTTTGTACTCTGTGCAACTTCTAAGCTATTCCCTTCTTTTTCTCTTCCATGAGCCTTCTCCTTCCCTTTATTATTCAAGAATTTGCTTTTCCATGTCTGAGAACCCTTTAATGATGGATAGGAGAAATGTGTCCTCCTCACATCAGACTCTAATAAGATTTGATCAGTGGCATTGAGTAAGAGAAACTGATTTGGTTTCTCAGACCACCACCACCTATAAATGTATCCTGAACCCCAGTGCTCATAAGTGGTGGCATCAACACTCATAGAAATAATAGCATCTCAGGGCTGTGTAAGATCTTAGGGGTTATATATCCCAACTCTTGCTGCAGTGCACTATATTCCTTATTCACATTTCCAGCCCTCCTGGTTTGCCCTTTGTAGTAGAAAAGGTTGCTTGGCTGCCACCATACATTTCTCTTTTCTCCTAGTTTCAGTGCCTGAATTGTTGACAATATCAAAGTGCTCTTTCTTTGTGGATTTGACTCAATAAAAAGTACCAGAGAAGAATCATCTCTTCCAATGCCTCCACCAACTTCAGACAGTCCTGAGGTTCAGGGGAGAGTGAACCAGTCCCTGGCTCTAGAAGGCAAATCCCAATTGGGTGGAGCTAGACATAATAAATCTCTTTCCCCTTGACAGGGATTAAGAAGGGACATGTGATCCGGTTCTAGCCAATACTAAGTGAGAGAAGTTTGCTGGAGGTTTCTGGGGAAATTTCCTTGCTCTTAAAAATTGTGATAATTCCTGTTCTTTATTTTATTTTATTTTATTTTATTTTATTTTATTTTATTTTTGGTGTTGTTTCTCTGGATGTTATTACCTTGGGGTTGGGGCACCAGCTGAGAGTTGAAGTTGATATTCTTTTTTTTTTTTTTTTTTTTTTTTTTTGAGACAAGATCTTAACTCTGTCACTCAGGCTGGAATGCAGTGGCGTGATCTCAGCTCACTGCAACCTCCACCTCCCAGGTTCAAGCGATTCTCTTGACTCAGCCTCCCTAGTAGCTGGGATTACAGACACCTGCCACGGCGCCTGGCTAGATTTTGTATTTTTAGTAGAGACGGGGTTTCACCATATTGGCTAGGCTGGTCTTGAACTCCTGATCTCAGGTGATCTGCCCGCCTTGGCCTCCCAAAGTGCGGGATTACATGCTTGAGCCACTGCATCCGGCCTCAATTTTATAGTTATTAACACCGCTCACCAAATATCTCTGCCTCCCAGGCATATAGTAGAATTGCAATTCCTAGCCCACTTGTGAGTAGGAGGGGAAAGTGACTAGTATCAGTCAATGAGTTGTGAGCAGAAATGATGTGTGTTATTTTTGAAACAGAGCATCTAATTGCTGCTGCAAGACACTCCAGAATTTTCATTTTCTTCTGGCATGGTGATCAGCAATGTTCTATATGGGAGTGGTTTTGTCAGTGTGAGTACTTAGGTGACTACAGTGAGGAGTACCTGATAGTAATAAAAATAGTGTCCCACCATGGGCATGTAGCATGAGTAAATATAGATCGATAGATCGATAGATACATAGATAGAGCATAGAGATATAAATATTAAAAATATACAAATATTTCTCTCTATAAATATCTATATCTCTATTAATATCTATCTCTCTCTCTCTCTGTATCTGCTTTTGAAAGCAACTGGAATTGAGGCCTATTATTGCAGCGTATCCTAGCCCACGCATCCCTATACAACACTGAGGTTGTCAGCTGAAAAGATGGACAGAACATCATTGGGCTACTCAAAGAGCTATGCTCAGGGCCTTCCCATCTCTGGTCTTCCAGTAAGGTGAGATAATTAAGTTTCCTTTTATTGAAACCTGTCTAAATACAAAGTTTCTCTTACATGTAGCCAATGGCATCCTAATGAATACATCATGCATTGTCTGTCTCAGTTCTGAATTTCTCTAGGGCTTCTACTTACCTATGCAATTTTGTACTAATCATATAACTTCCATGGGGTTCAGCTTACTCCTCTATAAATGGGCAGCTAAGTGAAGGGAGTGCCTCTAAGAAGCTACCTCTATTGCCACTTCAGAGTATATCTTTACCATAAACCTCAAGTATGAACTTGGGCCATGGCCTAGCATGACCTGCTCACCTGCTGTCCTTCTAAGCTCATCTGCCACTCTCCCCATACTCTGTCCCCTCAGCTATGCTGGTGTCCTGTGTTCCTCAAGGCCTTGGTATTTGCTGTGCTCTCTGCCTGGAGATCTTATCCCCAAATGTATGTAGAGTTCTTTCTCTCACTTTCTGTAGATTTCTGCTTAAGAATCACTGATGAAAATAGCACAGCCGTCATACCACTACCCACCATTTCCTCTTCCATCATGTTCTACCTTCACCTTATCATGATGAACTTTCCAGCATGGCATTTATCACTAACTCATACACATTCATTCAGGCATTTAAAAGTTCTATTCTGTTCTTCTACTAGAATGCCTGGTCTTGCTTGAATTTTATTGTCTGTTGTGTTGATTGCTGTGTTCTGCATGCCTGGAACAGTGCTTGGCACACAGTAGGCTGTGGTGGACCTGGAAGGACTCATCTCCAACTGTCCACTCCTCTAGGGTCTGTCTCAGCTGCAGAAAGTTGCCTCCCCTGGAACCACAGTCTTCCTTCCCCAGGGGGCCCACATCCAATGACTAATCAAATTCAAGGTATCAAGGCCCAGCCATTTCAGCCTAATACAATAATAAGATGGACACTATTTTCTCTGAAGTTCTAGAGCACCCTGGGGTCAAGGCTTTGCTGGACCTGTATTGGATCTGTCCAATCTTGCTTCCTTCCCCATTTCCATTGGCGATGACCCTTAAAGAATAGTCTGCATGCTACATGTTGTCTCAGTATCTGCTGGGAGAGATCTGAGCCTGCACCACAGGCATTCAGTATGTATGTGTTGAATGAATAAGTGAATGAATAAATGAATGAATGAATAAGTCCATGAGCCCCAAGTTCCCACCATGGCATCTCTATACATGATTATATGGCTTTTGGTTTATCATATCTAGTCACAAGTTAGAAACTATCTCCTAAGGCCACCAATTCCAATATTAAATAATTCTAATAGAGAGAAAATTAGAGTACATTAGCTTTTACTAATGTTGCTGATAGGCAAATCAATTTAGTGGCTCATACTGAGCTTATAGTTGACTAGAGTGTTTTTCACATTAGGATGACTTTTCGCATCCATGTGAAACGCTTCATACGTATTTTAGTTTATTTTACAAATTCAAGCCCATTAGTCTAGCCTTTTAAGCATTTTGGGAGCGTGTCATCTAAGATGCTATTTCTATCAATGTGGTAGACATGTATTCTACCCTGCTTCCCAACATTCTTTCCCATTTCTTCCAGCCACAGTCCCTTATCGTTGGTCGGAGATTTACCATCCATTCTCATTCCATGGGGTCTTCATGGGGTTTCATATGACCCAGATTTGAGCCAAACAACCATCTTAATTCTTTAGTCTGGACATTCAGAGTAAGCCAGTGGCAGAAGCCCATACAGTCAGATGAGCCCCAAGACTTGTGTGGACAGGACTGAGAAAGATGGTAACTCTCTCCCATGGGAAGAGGCAAGAATGGCACCGTGCCAACTGCCTTAACCTATGAAGGGTGGGTCCAGTGTTATTGGTAACCCCACAAAAAGCCCAAGAAAGGAGCCAGCATGGCACTGGGCTAAGCCAGGAGGAGAGAAGCCCAGTCCTGTTTGTACCATGGGAACCTTGAATCTAGCTTCATCTGAAGTCTGCCTATATCTCTACTTCTCTATGATGTGAGCCCATACATCCATACTTTAATTAAGCTCCTATTCACCAGGGTTTCCATCTGTAGCCGAAAGTGTCCTAACTGAAACAATCAACCTCACAGTTAATAAAATGACAAGAGTTTAAGCAAGAAGAAGTAGTTACACCCTCCTCTGCATGACCCCACGTGTTCTTTGCTCGTGTTCATAGCAGGTGAGGGCTGGGAGCTGAAGATGGAAGGAGCAGCACAGGTCAACATGTGAGAGATATGACAAGTGGCCATTCCTAACTGATGTCATCAAGTTGCCTCTAAACATAGGATTTAGGCCAAGCACCTCTAGTTCTCCAAAAGCAGTTGGGAGAAGATGCAGATACAGGTGAGTCCATTCTTGGCATGAAAACCCACATCAGGATGTGACAAGGTCAGGGGAGAAATGACCAGCTGTTAAGATTATTCCAAAGGTACAATCAGGCATACCAGACACAGGGTCCAAAGAGCATATCAGTCTTAATCATAGTTTTGAAAATTATCAGAAACATAGTATCCTTTCCAATGGGAAGAATACTATAGACAGAAAAGATTTGGAAATCTAGGCAATTATCAATAGAACCAGCACAGGGCATGGCTTAGAGACAGATGTGCTCTGGGCAGTTGTACTCTGCCACCAAGCGTGGTCAGAGTAAGCCCCCAGTTGTGGTGGAGACATGGAGTGTTGGCAGTGCTCTGACAGGGAGCTGAGATCTGGGACCTAGACAGAAGCCTTGTCCAAAAGATTGAGTCAATGTTATGGAGAGCTTCAACTTGGACATTGGTTCCCTTGTGTGATTGACAGCAAAGGAGACTTGAAGAGTAACATGGGGCCAGAAGCCATAGTCAATTATATACCAAAGATTGAGAGGAAGACACCTCAAGCCACTGCCAGACTTTCTATCTCAGACAGATCCTGTAGATGTACTCAGTTGTATGGCATGGGGAAAACAGCTTTAGGAAGGGTAGGGGCACAGGTGAGGTGAGGGGAACAAATAGCATCCGTGTGGTAGATTAATCATGGTCTCCTTCCAACAAGAGGTGAAGGCTGTTTGTCTTCTTTTTGAGTCTAGGCTGGGCCTTGTGACTTGCTTGACTAACAGAATGCAGCAGAAGTGATGATGTGCCAGCTACAGATCTACCCCTTCTAGGGGTGGGCCTCTGCCCCTAGAGGCCTGGTGACTTCTGCTTTCACATTCCTGGGTTCTAGCTACCCCATAAGAAGCTTAGGTTACCTAGAATGATGAAGGTTGGCAGGTCTCATGAAAAGAGATCTTAGAACAGGAGACATCATCTTGAGCATCTTGCTCCCAACCAAACTCCCAAGTAAAAGCAGCATGAGATTTAGGCCTGTGTGAGCAGAAGAACCATTCAGCTAAGCCCCAGCCAAATCACAGAATCATGAGAAATAATAGATCTTTGTCATTCTAGATGTTTTAAGCCATCAATGTGTTATAATGATTTGTTACAATACAATAGATAGCTAAAACAAACCACATATCATAGCATAGAGTCTAGACAGAAATGTACCATATTGTATTGATAGCAACTTCTGACCACAAAGATGTCTGAGGCTATTTTTGGTTAACTATATCAACCAAGAACTATAATATAGTTTTGGTTAACTATACTAGCTTCCTTGCATTACCCAAACAAAGTACCACAAACTGGAAGTCTTAAACAACCGAACTTATTGTCTTACAGTTCTGGATACTGGTAGTCCAAAATTAGGGTGCTGGCACAGTTGGTTCCTTCTGAAGGCTGTGAGGGAGAATCTGTTCCAGGCATCTCTTCTTGGCTTCTAGATGGCTGGCTTCAAGTCCAAATGGCATTCTCCCTGTGTGTCTGTCTCCAAATTCCCGTCTTTTTATAAGAACATAGTCTTATTGGATTAGGGCCACCCTAATGGCTTCATTTTACCTTGATTACCTCAATGAATACCCTATCTTTAAATAAAATCACATTCTGGGGTGCTAGGGGTTAGGATTTCAACATATTAATTTTTTGTAGAGGGACACAATTCAACCTGTAATGCCTGCTAAGTGGAGTGGTTATGTGATCTGTATAAAATATTATGCAAACTTACATGCCAATCAAGAAGAAAGGAGAAGGGGTCATATTTGTCACTGTCTCCCACTGAGGAGAAGTTAGAGAATTCCAACTTAGGTTATCCTGGAAATGATCATTCTATTCCATGACCTTTTCAAGACTCAAGACACATTGCTCTTGTGAGCTGAGAGAGATTCCAAATAGGAAACCTAGGAAAGGGAATGTCTTTCCCTGGCATTCTCTACCTAGTGATGGAGTTACAGGAAGTTTGCATCATGCATAATTAGAACTCTGGAATTGTGGCATTTCAGAATTGGATAGGTGCACAAAAATTCACATCCTCTGGACTCTTTTTCTATATCTAGTCAGCCATACATGTGAAGGCAAGGATGACCTCAAATTATCTCTACAACTAGCCTGGCCTAGAATTAACTCATCTCTTCATCAATCTATTCATTCCTTGTTATTTACTTTGTCAGTCAGTTATTCAAGCCCCCACTATGTACTAGTCATTATGTAGATGCTAAAATGCAAACATAAACAAATTATGCTTTCTGATTTGCAATATAGAATACTATTTGGGCCTCATGGAACTGTCTCTGCCACACCCCAGAGATTAGGAGTAAAAAGCATCTCTCATTAGAGAGAAATGTTTTTTCCCTCCTTGCTGAATGTCCAGCTGCTCTCTGAGATATGGATTCTTTCCATTAGGTCATGAACTACACTACCAGGAGGACACCTTTGCAGATTCAATCCACTTCGGGAGACATTCTGGAAACTCAGTTGTAGGATCTAGTATGTGGGCCACATGTTAACTCAATGTCTTAGCAACTTGTTGAAAAATATCACTCCTTAAGGGACTGTTTTCCTATTGCGATCACATAGGACTATCAAATGTGGTTTTCTTCACATCTGATGCAGCAGCATTAATAGCAATGATAGTTGAGTATGTGTGCACTTTTATACTTTTAATTTCAGAATTTATAATTCTACTGCTTAGAATTGATCTGGTTATCAACTGACAGTCCTAAGAGTAAGACTGTATTACACCACCAAATGATTAAAAGTTTTGTGGGGTTTCCTTTTCCCTTCCTGACACATATAAAGCAGTTCTGCATCCCCAAACATGTGTTGAGTCACAAAACAACTAATTTTAGTTGTGTGTTTCCTGGACAAGCTTGGACTGAATCATTTTCAACTGACACATTTAGCTGGGTCTATGGAATGTGATTTCTCTGCATAATATTGCAGTCATTCCTTGTGACTAGAACAATGTTACATACTACAACTCCCCCATCCTGTGCCCATGCCAGACATCACTAATCAATTATAGAACCCTTTCCCGCTGAGAACAGTCAGAGCCCTAGAAAGCCCCTCAACACCCAAAGCTCCAAATAACCAGCAGGCCTTAACTATGGTTGAAATTAGCACAAGGAATGAATTCTATTTGCCTAAAAGCCCTGTGAGTGGTGACAGAACAGTTCAAGCATAGTTCTATTACTTTACATAGACATGGTTTTAGAATTCTGTTCCAATTATGCAGGTTTATTGCCCCAAACTGAAACATTTGTGAAATGAAGGTGAGACTACAAGGGGCACGAATATCACTGGTTATTACATGCTTTTTACTGAAAGACATCACTTCTTTACAGTTGGAATAAATGCACACTGGGATTAGCTCTTCCTGAGAAGGGTGCTAATGAAGAGTGTGCCAAATGAATGCCAAAGATAATCATGCAGCCACTCCCAGATATTCACGTGCAGACTATATGCACGTGAAAATAATACATTTTCTCTTTGATTGGAATTCATTGAAATTTTATTGAAAACCACCATGAATTAACCTATAAAAATACATTCCCTATTAAAATAGGAGGCCTTTTGTGAGTGCATTACACATAGATGTGACATTTTCTTGGCTTACGGTTTATATCAACCAGTGTTCTATGTTAGTATAGGCTGTTTTTCATACCTCTATTTCCTACCTTTTGATGATGGCTCTTGTGTCTATTATCATTCAGATCACCTTGAATTCTCTTTCTGACTTTTACGAAGTTAAGCCCACCATAGACAGTAGAATAGGTTGCATATGATTTTTTTTAATAGGTTTTGGGTTTTTTTGTCCTTTAAAGGAAAAATAAAATGAGTTGACTAATTAGATCTATCCCACTTATCTAATCCAATTGACTGAGCACAAATTGGTCATTAATACAGTCAAATGCATCAACAGAAATTCTTGATTCTGTGTCAGGTAGACACGATCTAGATGGACCATCTGTTGGTTGAGTGCCAAGCTAAAAGCCAAACACTGAAACAGAAAAATGTCATCATTAAAATAGACAAGGTAACTCTGCTGAAAAAGGCCAATTTTCTTATTGTTATGCACCATCAAATTTCAAAATTTGATCTTGGCATTACCGCAGTGGGCAGACATCCAACCTGATATCCTGTACCCAGATCAAGACGTTACATAACCACATGGGCAGACACAGCCAGTACCGAGGTGAGGCGTGTGAGAGACAGGTGCCAATTAAAAGAGGGAGTGTTGGCCCAAAGATGCTTGAAAATGGAATTTCTAGAGAACTTGAGAACCTTTGTTACCTTTGCTTGAAGGCCTAGTTTTCCAATTTATTTTGCAAATCCTACCTCAGCACGTGATGGTGCCTTCTCATTCTACACTGCTGTCCATTACACCCCAGCCCCCTGACCCAAGTCCACCTCCTAGAAGTTCAGTCTTAAGGACAGAAATGGAATTCCCTCCAAACCCTCTATTCAGGAGGAATCCCCTACTAGCAAATGCACACCAGGGGCTAAAGGGCAAGGTCACGGTGGCATTGGTGTGGCAGAGGCAGCTATGGCGTTGTGGATAGTCACGGGTCAAAGAGAGAAACTGGGACTGGGATAATCCTGAGCTTACATTAGAGTTGTACTCAGGTCATTTAGAGTGGACACAAACTCAGCGAGCTCACACGTGGAGAATGAAGCAGAGAACTCACCTGGAGCCAGGTAGTCAGCCCAGACAGGTTACACAGGAGAAGGAGGTCAAGACAGGGCAGGGAATTAAACCCAGCAGACTGCAAGGCCTCAGGGCAGGAAAGGTGATGCCTCAATATCCATCCAGCAGTTGGGAATAAGGATGCTCATGAGAACTGACAGGCAGGGCAAGGCATTGTCTCTGGGTCCAGTCACAGTGACAGGAACCCTGGCCAAGAAATGGCTCACAAGCTCTCAGCTGGTCTTTATTGTAAAGCATGGGTTCTCCCCAGATTGCAGATACAAATAGCTACAGATGCCACTGATGTGTGGGACACATCCCACCAGGCCAAGTGTGAGAAGAGTCTGTGCCCACTTGGCATCTGTTTGCCTGTTTGGTAGGCCACGCTCTATTCCTCCACCTCCGCTTCTATCCCAAGCCCCTCGTTCGGCCCCCCACCCACCTCTGAACAGATTTCTTAAATCAGCACAGCGTACTGGCTGTACAGGTGCCATGATTCAAATGGCTCATTGACCATTATTTCTATTCCTTTCATTACACACTTCCTCCCATCATTTTGGTTTGATATCTTCTTAGATTGCTTTTTTTTTTTTCATCTACATGTTCCCATTTCTTTTCATATTTCCCCCGGGACATGTTTTAACACCTTTAATTTCGGGATATGCCATCCCTTCTGAGAGATCATATATTTCAGGAGAGGAAAGAAAATTTGGAAAAGAACCAAAGGAACCTGGTTTTAATTCTCATCTTCTCAGTGCTTAATATTATGTCTCAGAAATTTATTTTTATTTATTTATTTATTTGAGACAGGGTCTCACTCTGTTACTCAGGCTTGAGTGCAGTGACACAATCCTAGCTCACTGCAAGCAATCCTCCCACCTCAGCCTCCTGAGTAGCTAGGTCTAGAGGCATGCGTCACCCTGCCCAGCTAATTTTTTTGTATTTTTTTTGTAGAGATGGGCTTTCACCATGTTGCACAGGCTGGTCTCGACCTCGAACTTTGCCTTGGCCTGGCAAAGTGAGCCACCACACCCTGCCCGTTTCAGAATTTCTTTATTTCTTGCCTTATTGCCATTATAGAGATCGAATAGCGTAGAACAGTGGTTCTTAACCTGGGGCTGATGGTAAACCTCTTGAAATTATGATCAAAATTGTGTGTCTCTCCAGGTGAACCTGCCATTTTCAGGAGACATTTCATCAGACAATCAAGTGAATTCACATCCCAGAAGAAAATATGTAAACATTCATATCAGATAAAAACCTTAAGAATTAAATCCGGAAGACCTGAATTTCAGTCTTAAGGCTACTTCTTTTTTTTTTTTTTTTTACCGGCTCAGGGATTAGTCCATGATATTCTGTATTGCAGTTTCCTTTCTTGTAAAATAGAGAATGTAACACTAGCCTTTCACACAACACTAGGTCATGAAGATCTAATGACATCATGAATGTGAAAGCATTTTGGAAACCCAAAAGTTTAATAAAAGGTGTTAGTCATTCTTATTTTGCCAAATCTCTCATTTACGTAAAAACAGAAGGGCTGGATCAAAGGTCAAACCAAACCCGTTTTGGCAGCAAGGGACGGGCTGTTATAGAAACACAGTACATGTCCTCTGTAATATTAAAATCTGACCAAATATCTCATTAGCGTTGTGTGCAAATGCAAAGGGAACAGGGGCGTAAAGGGCATGGTGGTAGTTACGCAGTTTATTAACTCGATTTTCTAGATATTTGGATAAATGCAATTATAAATTCTTGCTTTATCATTTCTGTCTGGATGCTACTCTCCCTTTTGGTGCATAAAAGTTTAAAGGAAGGTACAGCTCTCCTATGAACAGCTGTCTGGTGGAGAACAACTGTTCTAGGAGGTTTCAGCAATTAGCTCTCTGTGGCATTGACTCTGTTACTAGCTCCAGCGACAGCCAGCTCTAAGTAAAGGAAGGAATGGTTCAATATTTTTCCTCCAACAGAGAAGGGCTTTGACCTAAGTGGAGCTCCGGATGATTTTGGCAACTAAGTCCAGTGTGATTCAAGCTAGCACATTAAACAACAAGACAAATCGAAAGAGGCTGGAGTAAAGAATCCAGAAAAGCAAGGTTACACTTTATTACCAAGACAGTAACACCTTTTAATTGGTTAACACCACAGATGAAGAGGTGGCGGCCTTTCTAGCTGGCTTCTGATTTGCTCCTGCATTAAATGGGTTTAAGAAAACAAAATCCTTTCCTTGCTTGCTTTAGAAGCTGTGATTTTAACTAGGAAACAGAGGGACACACAGGAAAAAGTCAGAGACAAAACGCGAAACAGAAGGGAACTTCTAAGTGGTCAGAACTGAATGTATTAGAAAATCCCCTTAAAAGCAGATGTAATTAAGTGAAAATAACTTTATGAATGCAACATTAAGAGGAAAATTTCAGTCTTATGGGAGGTCAAGAAAAGCAAAGCCACATTTTGTAGGATGCACATGGGGAATGTGGATTTCAGAGGATCATTTAATTTCGAATACTATGTCCCTCAACTTCACGGATCCTTCTACATAGGGGCATTTTTCCTTCTTTGGCACAGTCATCCTGCTCTGTCAACAAGGCTAGAACAAATAAGTTGGATAGCCAAAACTATTGCTTTCACTTCTAAAGGAGACTACCTGGCATTATAGGCATTTAGAACAGCATCAAATTTTAAAAGTGCAGCTGTGATCGTTATACATGTTTACAACGTCAACATGGCGATTGAGGTGGCTTCTTGGCTCTGTGACGGCAACTTCTAAGGGTTTCCTTTTCCATCTGGACCCAGTTGCATGTAGTAGTTCTTATTTATGGTGGCAAGCAATGCTACTGATACACCGTTATTAACCAGAGTCCATACTTCAGCCCGATGTCCTTAGTTTTGCCTTATGTCCTTTTTCTGCTCCAGGACCCCCTTCAGGATCCCACGTTACATTTCATCATCATTTCCCCCCTTAGGCTCCTCCAGACTGTGACAGTTTCAGACTTTTCTCGTTTTTGATGACCTTGACATTGTTGAAGGGTGCTGGTCAGATATTTCGTAGAATGCCCTTCCATTTGCGTTTGTCTGATTCTTTTTTTTCCTGGTTAGGCAGGACTTACGGGTTTGGGGACGGAACCACCACCGAGGTGAAATGCCACTCATATCAAGGATTCATACTATTAACATGATTTATGCATAATACTGTTAGCCCGGATCACCCCAGGGAGGTCGTGTTTGTCAGATTTCCCCACTGCAAAGTTTTCTTTTGCTCCCTGTCCTCACGCCACCCTCTTTGTAGGGAGTCACCTTAAGGGGGTACAGCTACATCGAGTATTTAGAATTCCTCTGTATAGAATATTTGTTTCTTCTTCCTTATTAATTCATAACTTCAAACATTTATTTATATCAGCATACACTTACAGATATGTATACTTCAGGTATATTTCAGTACTACATTGGCTAAGCATGGTGGCTTACATCTGTAATCCCAGCACTTCAGGAGGCTGAGACAGGAAGATTGCTTGAGCCCAGGAGTTCAAGATCAACCTAGACAACATAGTGAGACCCCATCTCTACATAAAAATTTAAAAAAACTAGCCCGGTGTGGTGGCATGCACCTGTAGTCCCAGCTACTCAGGAGGCTGAGGCAGGAGGATCACTTGAGACCAGGAGATGAGATTACAGTCAGCTATGATCATGACACTGTACTCCAGCCTGGGCAACAGAGTGAGCCTCTGTCTCTAAAACTAAAACTAAAACTAAAATGCCACATTATTCATTGTCTTGCTCAAATCATTCCCCCTTTGCCCATTGGGAGCTCTGTTCGTTGTCCCTTGTGTCCATTTGACACACTCAGTTGGGAATTTTTGTTGTTTTGATTTATTTTTGAGCACTTCCTTACTTTTCAGCACTATAAGACCTTCTAGATTCTTCTTGTATGTTTCCTGCCCCAGCCCTGGACTCAGCCATTTCTCCAAGGACCCCACATTCTTTTTATTGGAGAATAGTATTACTTCCCTTTTTTAAAAAAATTGTTCATTTATACCACTTTCCTCCAATCTCTTCCTTGCCACCCTAACCTTAGGAACCCAATTATTTCCCTCTGATTCTCTAGTATTCCTTTTCGTGTCTTAAAAATCTGCCTCTAAGATTGAAACTCTTCATCACATTTAAAGCCCTTTCTTTAATATCTCTCTCTTTTCTTTCATATTTCTACTGAACAACACATTGTTCCTATAGTGTCCACAGTAAGTTGAAAAGAAGGGAACATAGAGGATACTAAGAGAAGAAGTGAGTTCAAGCTATCTCTTGTGTGGCATATTATTTTTAATTAATGTTGCTGCCATTTTCTCACTTTCCCAGCCAAATCAATGCAACAAGAATTGTGTTGGCATCTGCAGCAGCAAATAGAGAGAAAAGGCAGTTTAAAGGGAGGGGGTGACTGCCCCCCACTCCCAATCTGGGTGTACTTTGGAGCAATCCACAATTCACATGCGGATCGTCAGAGTGTGGCAAGTCTATGAGTCAGAACCTGATTGCTACAGGAACATTTTTCCTCCATGGCTGGCAGAGATTCCTACTTTCCACCGTGCTCAGAACCATCGAAGAAGATTCTTTCTTGATGAGTTCCCTGCAACTGCACATAGGAACAGCTTAAGGGAAGCACTGGGGTAATAAAATTGAGCAGAGCCCCTAACCTCAATATTTTGCTATTCATTTCCAGATAGAACAGGCATCCTGGCCGAGGGGCAGAGTCCACTCCATTTTTTTGTTTGTTTTGCTTTTTTTTTTTGAGATGGAGTCTCGCTCTGTTGCCCAGGCTGGAATGCAATGAATGGTGCGATCTTGGCTCACTGCAAGCTCCGCCTCCTGGGTTCAGGCCACTCTCCTGCCTCAGCCTCCACAGTAGCTGGGACTACAGGCACCCGCCACCACACCCGACTAATTTTTTGTATTTTCAGTAGAGACGGGGTTTCACCGTGTTAGCCTGGATGGTCTTGATCTGCTGACCTTGTGATCCGCCTGCCTTGGCCTCTCAAAGTGCTGGGATTACAGGTGTGAGGCACTGCACGCGACCCACTCCCTTTGTTTTTACTTCTGCTCAGTTGTTCCTTCCTCACCACCCACTTCTTGAATTATTGTTACTTTCTTAAAGAGTCAAATGCTTTCCTTTACAACAGTTCTAGAGAGCCAAATCCCTGCCAGTATCCACGGTTGACACTAGAGATACAAAGAGGGACAAGATATGGCTCAGAGTCCATTGCAGAGACAACATCAGGATAGGCATTATTGGAGTATACAGCACAACGTTTATATCTTATGTATGTAGACTCTGGCTTTTATTCATTTTTATGTTGCAAAAATTTATCTTTTGTTTCTAGGCAAGTATACTTACTTATTTTCTTTTGATCTCACAGATAATAATTCAAGGCATTCTTTTTTAAAAATTGGAAGCATTAGATATAAAGCCAAAGGTCTCTTTAATGGCCACATCCTTCCCCCACCCACTCCAAACTCATCTATACCTCCTCCTTCCCAAATACTAATGCAAGCACTGTTTTGAGCTTTTTGTCTTTCTTCTCAGATAAAAATAATAAAATAAAATAAAATAAAATAAAATAAAATAGATGCACAGGGCCAGGCATGGTGGCTCATGCCTGTAATCTCAGCACTTTGGGAGGCCACGGTGGGTGGATCACCTGAGGTCAGGAGTTCGAGACCGGCCTGACCAACATGATGAAACCCCGTCTCTACTAAAAATACAAAAATTAGCCAGGCATGGTGGCGGTGCCTGTAATCCCAGTTACTCAGGAGTCTGAGGCAGGAGAATCACTTGAACCCAGGAGGTAGAGGTTGCAGTGAGCAGAGATCGTGCCATTGCACTCCAGCCTGGGCAACAAGAGCTAAACTCCATCTCAAAAAAAAAAAAAAAAATAGCTGCACAAATTCAGGACTGTCTAATTCAAAATAATACGTCTGACAGTCACTGCCTTGTCTCTTCCCTCTCCTTCCATTCTCTTTCCCCTGTCACTTAGCCCTGGTCAGTGACAAAATTCCACGCAATGCTTGGAATCTGGATGAGCCAACAGGGCTGTTGTCAAAACTGAGTAATCAGAACTGGGGAGAGAGGCTGGGACTGGGGCAGGCACGCAGATGTGCTCTTTAATCAAACCAGGCTAGACCAGGTCAAGGGGGCCTGCCCAGGAAAATGAGCAAGGAAGCAAAAATTACCAAGCAAAGTCATAGGGCAGAAGAGTGCAGAATTGAAGAAAGGAATCCAAGCTGGGGTGGAGATGTGGACAAG